GTGAAGGAGAACTCCTCAGACTTGCCCTGGGGATCAACACGACCTGCGCTCTCACCCAGGGCCATACGCCAAACTGCTCGCCAGACAGGAGAGCAGAATAGGTGTTAATCTAGTCCTATTTATAATATCAAAAGTTAGGAGTAGACTAACCCCCGCCCATCATCCACTTCAATATCATCCATTTGGTGGAAGTCAGTTAACGGTAGACGCCCAGACCCGGCACCATTTCATGGTGAGGCCATGTTCATAAGCTGGCCTTTACATCTTCAATTTTGCCGAGCCACGGCACTAACGCCTCTTGGAAAGGTGCTAACTGACTACGCAGACGTAGCAATTTTGTCACATAACCGTTACTGTGTCGACCGGCGATGTGGTCGACACTTCCCTACACCTTTTATTATTATTATTCTGGGGTATTAATACAGTATTCTCATCTGGTTGGGCTGAATAAGATAAATATATATTTAATATACTAACATAAATAAATAAATAATACAAAAATAAATAAAAGGACAATGAGATGGAAGCCACCGATGGATATGCGGGCAGTATCGAGGAGCACCGCCTTCTGCATTTGAACCCGGAGCGGTCCGTTATGGAGTCCCAGCCACTTCAGATGACCCGGGGCTCACAGAATTTAGCCCATTTGCAGAAACGAATACAGGAATAATTTCGTTCAGCAAAACACCCCACATGTCGGTCACCTCGTGAGCCAGGTCCAGATGTTTTGTTTGCTTATCTGTTATTATATATAATTATTATTTATATATATATATATATATATATATATATATATATATATATATATATATATATATATATGTGTGTGTGTGTATATATATATACTGTGCTTGGTCCATCGGCACAGTATCAAGCTTATTCGCAAGAATAGTCCAGTCTGTGATGACGGCCCAGACCCAGTAGAGCCTGGCGCGATCATTTTCGAGTACAACTTCCGGCAAATATTTATAATAAGTCACCCACGAGGCCGTATTTCAGAGCGAGCTCCTTGTGTAGAATCCTGGCTACTAGGTTGCGCCTGTGCAAGTACTCAGAGATAGAGTTACAACTTTTACATAATACATTATATACATTTAAATAGTTTACTTCCTTTTCTGCTTAAGAATTCGTATAGTTTGTTTGGTACCCGCAATTAACCTTTGTAATGCGCTGAAAATTGTGTTCCTCATTTGTTATTCTAGTAAAGTCATGGAACATCTGAGTACTACACGGTTAAGAGCAGATTCGACCAAATTTGCATAAGTCTTATCGTGCTTATTATATAGTGATTAAATCACTTATTTAATCTATTTTTGATTTTACCAAATCTTAATCCAGGAATAACCAAGCCAGCGGGCACGGATGATGGATGCGAGAGTATTTGAGAGTTAATAGCTATACTGGCAAAATTCATAGAATAAACTGGTTACCTCAGATTGATTAAAACTACTTTGACGGGTTTTATCGCGTTTTATTTATTTTATTTTTAATTATATAGTTATCTCAGATTATTTTTATGGTGCACGCTACATTTTAACCGCGTTTTTGAACGCTCTGTGAAAAAGTAGTATATTTTACAGTTGTGCGTTTATAATTTCTTGTATTTTTAGGCTACGTTCCTCCTTTCTTGGCACATTTTCTATATTTACTCTTACGGCAAATTATGTGGGCCTAAAATCTTGCATTGCGCTTGTTTATGCATTCACCAACTCTAGAGTAACAATAGCCAGTATTGGCTTCTCTACGTTTGTGTTACAAAACGCAAAATGAAGTTATCTTATTGTAAGAGCAAAGAGTAAAACTATTCGAGAGTTAGTTTAATGTTAATAATTTTTAGTTGATTGGTCTAAGGGCTACGATGGCTACCCCAGTCCAGAACCAGAGTAAAAAACCTATCCAACTGTAGAGATGTGTAAGACAGGGTGAAGTAAAAATCACCGAAATACTTTACCGCTGCATTGGAAGACGTTTCAAGCACTGGAAAGAATACAGTATTAACGGCAACGGCGTGTACGTCACTCACCTTCGATTTCCGATAATATAGTCTTTATGCCAGAATCGCTGGAGACCATGTTCAATGACCTCAATTGTGTCTCCCAATGGATAGGTCTTAAGATGAACATGGACAAAAAAAGTCGTGTGTAATGTCCATGTCACACCCATGCCGGTGGTTTTTGGGAGCACTTCGCTGAATTTGTTGACGAGTATTTTACCTGGGACAAATAGTCGAAGCAATAGTAGAACTAGAGTGACCGACATCGCCCAATGGATTAGTAAGCTGAAGTGGTAATTGACCGGCCATATAGCTGGAAGAACCGAATACCGATGGGGAAAAAAGGTTCTTGAGTGGCAGCCTCGTACAGGCAGGTGAAGTGTACGATGTTCCCCCACCAGATGGAGTGAAAACCTGGTAAGACATGCAGGATGTTGATGGATGCAGGTGGCTCAGGGCGGTGCCTTGTGGCATTCCTAGGGGAAGCCTATGTTCAGCAGTGGACTCGTGAAGAGTTTTAATGATGATGAATGATAATGGAATTATATTAATAATAAACATAATAAAACATAAACACTCACGCCTGTAACCCAGAGGGGTAGGCAGAGACTACAGACTTCCATTTGGCAAGATCCTGACTCACCTCGCTCGCCTCCTTCACATCCATACACCTACGCATACATGCTCGTCGGTTAAGGGTACTACTAATTTGGCTCGTTTTCAATAAATCGCCAATTTGGTCGATAAATTTTCGCCTAGGACGTACCTTTCCGACTCTGCCATTCACTTCTGCAACATGACCAAACCACCAAAGCATTCCTTTCTTAATCCTGGTCACAACATCATCTTGCAAACCACACTCTTCTCTTATCACACAATTTCTCACCCTGTCATTCAGATTCACATGCTGGGTGTGCTTGTTGGCTAAGGATAGAGGGGTAAGCCCTTTATCGTTAGAAATGACGTCATTATAGAATGGATCATCCGATCTCGCCAAGAAGTATTGACGGAGACTGCACACTTCGCGATTATGCATGGTGAGCGCGCTCAGAAAGCCACGCCCACCATGCTTTCGCGGCAAGTACAGCCTCATTACCGACGATCTCGGATGATGCATCCTATGGGACGTCATGGTAGTGAGGACTTTTCTATCCAGGGCGTTAAGCTCATTCTGAGTCCACCTGAGTATGCCAAAGGTATACATGAGGACAGGCATGACCCAGCAGTTATATGCGTGTGACTTATTCACATCGGACAAAAGGCTGTTAAGCATTTTGGTCAAGCGTGCATAAAACACGTCGCAAACTGACTGTTTCATACCAGCCTCATCGATACCGATGTTCTGTGACATACCCATACAGGACCCTTTCCGAGGCTGAAATATACCCATATCGGTATGTTTCAGCCTCGGAAAGGGTCCTTAAGTTGACGGGTATAGACAAGTTTATGCCCTCAGAGTTAGCAACCCTTCCCCTTTCAACATGGAGGACCGCACACTTATCCGTCCCCAGCTCCATTCCAATGGAACTGCTAAATTCACAAGTGATGTTTAGCAGTTCCATAAGATGGGAGCGACTGGAGGCGAATAACTTGAGGTCACCATATAGAAAAGGTGGGTCACTTTTGTACCTCCTTTCCGTAGCTGAAATCCCCTCCCGGAGCCCTCCAGTAAGGTACTGAGAGAGTTCAGAGAGAGGCAGAACCAGATTGGACTCAAACAATCGCCATGGAAGATACTCCTTCTTATCCTTATGTGATTCTCCGCAGCCATCATCTGCTCGCCCTGATGACAAAGGATCGTACTCCACTGCCCCATACACTGCTCGAGGAAGTCTAACTGTACAGTCAATCTTGTACAGCTCGGGGACCCTCTTTAGCCATGTATGGGGCACAGAGTCGAACGCCTTTCTGTAGTCTATCCAGGCGGCAGAGAAGTTCCGACGGTTGCGTTTCACCACTTTGCCTATGACCGCGTCAATGAGGAGTGGTTCCTTGGTTCCACGACCACCGCCCCGACATCCATTATTAGCGCGTGACATCACCTGGTTTAGCTCCAGGTGACGAGTGATTCTCGCGCTCAAAATGGATGTCAGTGTCTTATATATGGTGGGTAGACACGAGATTGGGCGGTATTTGCTCGGGTATGTGGTATCCTGATCTTTAGGAACCAAATGAGTGATCCCAGTAGTGAAGAGGATCGGGAGCGACTTCTGGTCGAGAGCCTCTTGAAACTGTCGGGCGAGCACAGCGTGACACACTATGAACCCCTACAGCCAGTAATGATGCAGCCCGTCAAGCCCCGGACTTTTCCAGTTCGGGGCCCTACGGACCGAGTCAGCCACGTCTTCCGGCGTTATGGTGATGGGGTCCATAGGCGTAACACTCGCACCCTGGCTCGCCACAACTTCCATCCAAGGGCGCTCGCTGTGGTTTACGGGCTCTGACCACAGGCCACGCCAGAATGCGATAATGTCAGCCTGATCCGGTCCTTGGCCCGCTCCACATACCTTTGGTCGCTCCAATGATTTATAGAGCCTCTTCTGATCACTATGGAAGAGACGATTCTGATTGAACCGCCTTGACCTCTCGGTAAATCGTTGAATCCGCTTCCCCTAAGCAGCGATCTTTTGCTTCAGGTCGTCTATGCGCTCCGTTAGTTTTTGCGTGATATCCGGCAGGGACAAACTGATATTTGTCCCAGCAAACGCCATTCTAACGGTGCGCACAATCCTGGGTCTATTATTACCCGACCTTCACCCGCTTGTCAGTCTGCCGATAAGGGCCCTTGCCTTTGCGATACGGTCCTCGATTCTTTTTCTCCAGGCTGGGATGGCGCTACTTTGTATAGTAGCGCGTCCAGCCATGGGAAGTTTGACGCCAATAATACGGCAAACTGCCACTGTGGCGCCAAAGAGAATTAAATCCGTCTCGCAAAGGTCCCGGCTGGCTTCCAAATAGGTCACCAGCATTGGGTTAAGAGCCCTCACGACAGCCCGATTTCGTTTGCTTAGGGGTATGCGGGGAAGTCGCGGTCGATCTTTTCGAGAAGAGTGCTGCGCGTTTCCAAAATTGCCTCTTCCAATATACTCCTCATTTGCTCTAGTTCGTGGGAGACTATTTCATCGTCGTTCGAATCAACCACAACTGGAAGATCCATGGCGGCTTTCACGTGTGGATGCTGGTCTGTCGGATGTGGAGCTGCATCTCCAGCCATAGCCGATTCATTCGACGATGGAATAGCCTCACGTAAAAGTCGTTCGAGTTCAGCATCATCAAATATTTTCGAGCGCATGATGTACCGAACCCGGTCTGCCGGTTTTGTTCCGTGACGGGGATAGAAGGCTCCAGCTCAGCAAAAAAGCAATGTATCCGAGCCCTATACGCTATTCCCACAGTTTCTTCCCCTTTCGCCCTATAGTATGCCCGCATACGTTTTCGTTCATAGATTTTGTCCAACGCATGCGACATGCTCCACCAGCGGCGGGTGTCGCTTGCTGAGTCCGAGAAGACCCAGCCGACACCAAGCCTTCTGGTGGGGATGATGGATGCGAGGGGCTGCTAGGTGATCGTGCAGCTCCTCGCTCTCGGCTGGCGGCCCGCATGCTGCCGACTTCAGTGCCAGCTCCAGACGTGCCCCGGCGACCCCCAGGCAGCGGCCCTATGCGCGTTCCGTCACCGGGCGGTGGGGTCTATTTTGTTTTCTATTCTATTTATGATTATTATTATTAAAATGAACAATTATTTATTATGACAATTTTCGCGCGTTTATATCAAGTGCGCATGTGCGGACGCAGAGTAGTGCACAGTTTTTGTTTGGAATAGCTTCTCTAGTACGTAGTACATATAACTCAATGGTTTAAATAACTAACAATAATATTTCTTTTTAACCAAATCCAAAGAGATTGGGTTAATATAACCGTATTAATTTATATATATGTATGTAACACAATACATCTCGGGTTGGTTAACTGATTTTGCCTGCTGTTATATGAATGCCCATATAAATTTCAACTAGATCCGATGATAATCGAGGATGGTTAAAATTTTCATTAAAAAACCAAATTAACCCCAATACGAGTATGGAAATTACTCTCTGGGGCGTCTCAAAGACATGTATATTTAAAATTTTTGAGAAATAAAAGTATTTATTATTATTGTGGGGTATCTATATAGTTTTCTCATCTGGTTGGGTTCTATAAATATATAATTATAAATGAGAATGAAAAGATAAATATACATAAATATCAATAACATAAAATAAATATAAAAATACTTAAATAAATAAAAGCCCAACCAGATGGAGGCCCTCGGCAGGGGAGACCAAACGGCCGAGGGTTAGGGGGAAAGAGAAAGAAACCGGCGGACGATGCGGGCGGTATCGAGGAGCACCGCCTTCTGCATTTGAGCCCAGAGCGGTCCGCCACGTAGTCCCAGTCGCCTCAGATGACCCGAGAGGCTGACTGGGATTAGCCCGTTTGCAGAGACGACTACAGGAATAATTTCGGTCGGCAGACCACCCCACATGTCGGTCACCTCGTGAGCCAGGTCCAGATATTTTGTTTGCTTATCTGTTTCGGCTTTCACGAGGTTCTCGTCATACGGAATGGTAATGTCGACCAAAAATATCCTTGAGTGTGCCCGATCCATCAGCACAATATCAGGCTTATTCGCAAGAATAGTCCTGTCTGTGATGATGGCCCGGTCCCAGTAGAGCCTGGCGCGGTCATTTTCGAGCACGGCTTCCGGCAAGTACTTGTAATACGGCAATTTCCGGTCCACGAGACCGTATTTCAGAGCGAGCTCCTGGTGTAGAATTCTGGCTACTAGGTTGTGCCTGTGCAAGTACTCAGAGTTAGAAAGCGCCGAACAACCGGACATGACATGCCTAAGTGATTCACCTGGATGGCGACAAGCTCAACAGACGTCGACGGTGCCATCCTTTAGGATGTATCTCCGATAGTTGTTGGTCTTAATAACCTGATCCTGTATTGCACAGACAAAACCCTCGGTTTCCCCGAAGAGGTCACCGAAACGTAGCCAGTTGAGGGAGGCGACTGTATCTACGAAGGGCTCATGAAGAGCCCTGTAGTAGCTCCCGTGGAGCTCCTTCTCCTTCCATACGGTCTCTCGGTCGGAAATGCTAAGCACTGCTGGGTCCTGCCATTGCTCGTGGGCTAAGGATAGAGGGGTAAGCCCTTTATCACTAGAAATGACGTCATTACAAAATGGATCATCCGATCTCGCCCGGAAGTAATCACGGAGGCTGCACACTTCGCGATTATGCATGGTGAGCGCGCTCAGAAAACCACGCCCACCATGCTTTCGCGGCAAGTACAGCCTCATTACCGACGATCTCGGATGATGCATCCTATGGGACGTCATGGTAGTGCGGACTTTTCTATCCAGGGCGTTAAGTTCGGTCTGAGTCCACCTGAGTATGCCAAAGGTATATATGAGGACAGGTATGACCCAACCGTTATATGCGTGTGTCTTATTCACACCGGACAAAAGGCTGTTAAGCACTTTGGTCAAGCGTGCATAAAACACGTCGCAAACTGACTGTTTCATACCAGTCTCATCGATACCGATGTTTTGTTACATACCCAGGTATCGGTATGTTTCAGCCTCGGAAAGGGTCTTTAAGTTGACGGGCATAGATAAATCTATGCCCCCAGAGTTAGCAACCCTTCCCCTTTCAACATGAAGGACCGCACACTTATCCGTCCCCAGCTCCATTCCAATGGAATTGCTAAATTCACAGGTGATGTTTAGCAATTCCATAAGATGGGAGCGACTGGAGGCGAATAACTTGAGGTCATCCATATAGAAAAGATGGGTCACTTTTGTTCCTCCTTTCCTTAGCTGAAATCCTCTCCCGGAGCCCTCCAGTAAGGTACTGAGAGGGTTCAGAGAGAGGCAGAACCAGATTGGACTCAGACAATCGCCCTGGAAGATACCCCTTCTTACTTTATGTGGTTCTCCGCATCCATCATCCGCTCGCTCTGTCTCTGCATATATGACATTTGTCTATACATATATGACTGCCTCGTTGGTCCAGTGGTCATAGTAGTGCGACTGCTGATCATGAGGTCCTGGGTTCGCATCCCGGTTCGGGCCAAAAAATCAATTATTGAGTTTTTCTGTCAAGAAATTCTCAGTAGCTGCCCGAAGTCAGGAAGTTGGCGGTGTCTCACCCCCGTGCCTCTGAAAGCACGTAAAGCCGTTGGTCCTGCGCCTGATCTCTCTCCGGTCGAGTCGGTTTACCGTCCCATCGGATTATGGGAGTGAGGGAATAAAGAGTGCACCTGTGCTTGCGCATACACTTGGGCACTAGCCTCCGTTGAGGCAGGCCGCTGTGGCCGAAATTCGGTCTGAACGACATTATTATTTATTATTATTACATATATGTAATCTACTACATACAATACATTATTGAGGCTAACAGGAAAACAATTCTAACAACGATATTTGTATATTTGCTTCGTCATCTTTACAACTTATCAAAAGTCTACTGCTGAACACAGGCCTCCCCTATATATTGCCTCTCAGCGGGAAACTGCTCATATTTATAAAGCATGGCTGACGGACAGTCTGCTTTATTAGTTGCTATTAGGTAGACGCTGCGGCCAATATCCTGGTTTATTTCCCTCTGTCGCTTTTACAATTTCCGAGAAAATAGGTGGTAGTGGATATTTGGCCACTACAAGGTTTAAATATTTACTCGTTGATTTTTTAACTTCCCGCTAATAAAATTGAAATTTTTTAAAAATATGGGAAGTGGTTTCATCCCGATTTTCGAAAATCGAGTTTTCATCACATATCGACGTTTTGAGATCCCAGGAAGCTATTCTGACTAATTTCACGTGAACGTCCATACGGATGTATGTATGTATGTATGTGTTTGTAAGTATACAAACCTTTCATAACTTTTGAACGTCATGAACGATTGAGATGCAATTTGCGGCTTTCCAAAGATCTCAACGTGGAATGATAATATGAACTGATTCGGACTAGTATATTTTGAGAAACTGTTTTTGTGGAATAACTTTTAAACGGCTTTACCGATCGATTTCAAAAAGTAATCAACTCTTAACCTCAAATAATGACGGCAAATGCAGTTTGGAAAATAAAAATCGATTCATTCGTTCCTGAGATATCGAAGGAGAAATAATTTGAAAAAGAACGTTTTTTAACATAATTTATAATTACTTAACCATAATAATAGGACGGTTAACTTTTGTATATAAAGGACTCTATGGCTAACTTTGCCAGTCACCTCATTACCATGGGCGCTGCAAAGTGGAAAACTCAGGAATTAAAAATAATTTAAAATTAAATTCGGTAACATCCGAAGATTTTTTTTATAGCATCAAAGTGACAAACGGGCACACAGTCTACAGTTCCAGTGATGGTAAGTGGATGCTGTGGCCCATAGACGTCTACATTTATCATCAATTTAGAATCAAAATGCAGATAGTTTGTTAACCCTGATGACTGAGATGGAATGCCTCTTTTCCAGAAAAACGGGTCTCCGGTCCTCTATATTCACCATACGAAACACAACAGCATTAAGCTGCTATTTTACGCTAGTATTCTGTGAGAGCGTGGTCCTATGTCACAACTCTGGCATGTCACAACTCGTAAACTTTTAAATCAAATATATGGTGCACTAGCCCAATCGGTTTTGAAATAATTGTATACAATACTTGGGTTAGTGCTACGAAAACAATACCCCATTGATTACAGCACCTCTTGAAAATCAAGAAATGTAAATTTTTACACTTAATATTCATACACATTTTCATTGGTTCTAAGCAATTCATGCTTCTTAATAAATAGTGTTGCGCGCCTAAATTGACGTCAGGTACCTAGCACTAGCGCCATCTAGTGTCGAGGACCAGAGCGAGGAGGGCTTCCTAGAAAATGTCAATCTTGAACTTTCGACCAACAGCGCCATCTAGTATCGAACAGAAGAATTAAGCTTTCTAGAAGCCCCCAACACGAACTTTCTGCGTCTGTTCGGTCGGCGCCCGTATTTACTGGAATATTCTGGATGTTTCGGTGTAAAAGGTGTATTTAAAGCCGCTGCAAGCCGCGATCGTGGCAGTATTGAATTCGGCGAGACAAGCGAAGCTTCGGAGCGAAATAAAGTGAATCAGTGTGATTAATTATTAGTGTCTTTTAAGTTTTAATTGGTGTTCGGTAATAAAAGTGTAAATTTTGGTAATTCAATCGGCAGTTTTTATTGTCACGAACCCTAAGCTCGTAACAATAGTATATAATTTATTTATT